AATTACGTCCGAGACCCCTCTGGCCCAGATCTGGAAGCGTATCCGCAAGATAGCGGGTAAGTTCGTTCCTGATGTTTCACCGGTCCTTCACCTCCATGATACTCTTGTGGCGGACCCGTTGCAGGTCGCTTCCGAACTGGGTTCCCACTTTTCTTCTGTTAGCTCTGGTCTTCATCTTCCCCAATCTTTCCTTCTTCGTAAACCTGTCCTTGAGTCTCGTCCTTTAGATTTCTGCACTCATCTTCAGCTTCCCTATAATGATCCCTTCTCTCTCTCTGAACTTCGTTCTGCCCTGGCCCTCTGCGGTTCTACGGCGGCGGGCTCCGATGGTATTCATTATGAGATGCTTCGCCATCTCCCTCCGAGCACGTCTCAGTATTTACTGAGTCTGTATAATCGGATCTGGGAGTCGTCGTCAGTCCCTGAGGACTGGCTCGATGCCGTTGTCCTCCCTGTTCGCAAACCGGGGTCTCTGGGTACTTCCCCTAAGGACTTTCGCCCTATTGCTCTCACAAGTTGTGTCTGCAAACTCTTTGAACGTATGGTTAACGTTCGTCTGATGTGGTTCCTGGAACACCATCACCTCCTCTCCCCTTCTCAATTTGGTTTCCGCAAGTGCCGCAGCACGACAGATGTCCCGGTGAACTTGGAGGTCTATATTCGTACTGCTTTTGCTGCGAAGACCTCCGTTGTTGCCGTCCTTTTTGACCAAGAAAAGGCTTACGACACCACTTGGCGTTATCATATCCTATCTCAACTTCATTCTTTTGGCCTTCGGGGTCATCTCCCTCTCTTTCTCCGCAGCTTCCTCTCTCGTCGTTCCTTTCGGGTGCGCCTTGGTACCGCTCTCTCTCCCTCTTTTCAGCAATACGAAGGTGTGCCCCAGGGTAGTGTTCTGAGCACTACTCTTTTTCTTGTTGCCCTCAATGGTCTTCTTTCCTCCCTTCCTTCTGGTGTCTTCTCCGCTCTCTATGTCGATGATCTTACCCTTTGTTGTCAGGGTGATGATTCGCCTCTCCTTCAACGCCGGCTTCAACTTGCAATTGATGCCGTGTCGTCTTGGGCCACAGGTCATGGCTTCAAGTTCTCTACTTCTAAGACTTGTGCCATGACTTTTACGCGGAAACGGGTTGTTCTTCGTCCCTCTTTGTCACTTTATGGTCATCCCCTTGAATACAAAGATTCCGCGAAGCTTTTGGGGTTATTCCTTGACACTCGTTTGTCTTGGTCTCCCCATATCTCTTACCTCCGTGTTGAGTGCTCTAAGGCCCTTACCCTCCTTCGGGTCTTGTCCCATACTTCTTGGGGGGCAGATAGGCGCACTCTCCTTGCTTTACATTCCTCTCTCGTCCTGTCTAAGCTCGATTATGGTTGCCCTGCTTACTCGTCTGCTTCTCCTTCTACTCTTCGCCGTCTTGATGCTTTGCACCATACTGGGTTGCGCCTCAGTTCTGGTGCCTTTCGTTCGACTCCCATCCTTAGCTTATATGTTGACACTGGCTTCCTGTCTCTCCAGGACCGCCGTGATCGCTACTGTCTTCGCTATCTTGCGCAGTCCTTGCAACATCCTTCCTCTCGCCTCTGTCGTGCTTTAACTTTTACCCTTCCTGCGGTTCCTGTTCCTCTTCACCACCTCCCTCTTTCTGTCCGGTTATCTCGCCTACAGGATTCTCTCTCCGTTCGTATTTCTGATGTTTCTCCTCGTGTTGTTCCTTCTTTGCCCCCGTGGAGGGTCCATCTTCCGCGGTTTTGTACTTCCTTGACCCGTATCACTAAAGCTTTTACCCCTCCTATGGTTCTAAAACGCCTTTTCCTCGAGCACTTTTCTTCTCACTCCCGCTCCGTTTCTGTCTTCACCGATGGGTCTAAGTCAGCGGACGGTGTTGGCTACTCTGTTGTTTTTCCTGATCGCACTTATATGTGTCGCTTGCCTCCGGAGACTAGCATCTTAACAGCGGAACTTTATGCTATTCTCTATGCTCTTCGTCTCCTGCTTTCTCGTTGTCAGTCTTCCTTTGTGGTTGTTGTTGACTCTCGTAGTGCCCTCATGGCTCTCGGGTCCTTTAATCCAGTTCATCCAGTAGTTGTCGAGATCCAGCATTGGCTGTTTCTCGTTCACAGTAAATTTAAGTCGGTTGAGTTTTGTTGGGTTCCCAGCCATATTGGTGTGTCTTTAAATAAGCGTGCGGATGCTGCCGCTAAGGAAGCTGTCCGCTCTTGTCCCATCTCTCGTAAAGGCATTCCGTATTCCGACTTTTACCCGGTTATCCATTCCTCAGTCCTTACCCGTTGGCAGGCTTCTTGGTTGTCTGTTACTGGTAACAAGCTACGTACTCTTAAATGTTGTGTTTCCTCGTGGCCGTCCTCCTTCCACCGTAACCGGCGGTGGGAAACAGCTCTGGCGAGGTTGCGTATTGGCCATACTCGCTTAACCCATGGTCACTTGATGGAGCGCCGCCCTGCTCCTTATTGTCCTAGTTGCATTGTCCCTCTTACGGTCATGCATGTCCTTCTTGAATGTCCTGACTTCCAGGACGAGCGTGTGTCTTGCTTTCCGACCGCCCCTCGCGGTCACCTGTCCCTTGATAGAATTCTTGGTGACTCGGATACTTTTGATATCGTTCGCCTTATGCGTTTTTGTTCTCGTATTGGCATCCTTGGTGATATTTAGCGCCCTCTGATTATTTTGCTTATTTGATGGTGCTACATAGCCTTCCCGGTTTGGTGCCTTCTTTTGATAATTACTTACTTACTTACGACAGGGTAAAAGAGTTGAAACCGAAGTTCTACTGAACTTACTGAATCCCGTAACCTCTCCGAGGTTGGAATCCTCGTCACGGCCCTTGTGGATTTGTTCATTTGAATTATCACGTTAGTGTGATTTCTGTGTGTAATGATGTAAGGACGAAGAGGGAGAACGGCTTATTGACATAGCTTGAGTGCAGGGTGGGGGGGGGGGGGTAGAGTTGTGTAAAACCCTGGTTTGTGCCTCGTAGAGGCTGGGGGATCCAGTAAGTTCAATAGAATTTCGGTTTCAACTCTTTTACCTTGTCATAGCTCAGTCGATTAAGGTAGTGTCTGGGATGCTCCTGGACACAGGTTCGAATCCTCGTCACGGCCCTTGTGGATTTGTTCATCGAATTTATACTCATTTTGGTGAGGTGATATGGTACAAAGTTTTGGGTGAGGTGAACAAATTTATGACAAACACAAGACAGAACATGGAAAAATGGGTATAAATTGGATATGAGAACTGCAGAAGGCCTATTGGCCCATACTTCCTCTTGTTGCTTCCATATTTGTTCGGGGTCTTGAAGTGGGTAGAATATAGTTGTACATTAATTGGCTGTTGATTGCTGGTGTTGACTTTTTGATGTGTAGTGCCTCACTGATGTCGAGCCGCCTGCTATCACTGTACCTATCGCTGATTTCTGTGTTGTTTGTTAAGATTTCTCTGGTGATGGTCTGGTTGTGAGAAGAGATTATATGTTCCTTGATGGAGCCCTGTTGCTTATGCATTGTTAATTGCCTGGAAAGAGACGTTGTTGTCTTGCCTATATACTGAGTTCTTTGAGGCTTACAGTCCCCAATTTGGGCATTTAAAGATATAGACATTTAAAGGTATAGCCCCTGGTGGTAGCCTTCATGTGAGCCCCAGTTGTAGCCTTTATGTGAGCCCTGGTGGTAGCCTTTATGTGAGCCCTGGTGGTAGCCTTCATGTGAGCCCTTTATGTGAGAATGAACTTATATGATAACTTAAAAATAACTAAGCAAGCACTTGTTAACTTAATTTATATATTCAAGTATATATGCAATGTATTTCTATTAAATTTTTATGATTAGGTACAGTCAGCCTGATTGAATCTCTTCCAACACCATGGACACTTATGAAGTCTTGTTTACTTATTGCGACTGAATCTTTTCTCACAATAGACACTCATGAGGTCTAGTGCTTGGATAAGATTCTACTGATTCTTAATAAACTTACTGAGATATGAGGCGTTGCCTCGCTCTATAAACGACAGACAGACTTATAGGATATTAAAGTCACACAAGCATACAATTGGTCAATCATATACCAAAATAACCTCAATATACTTCTCTGCTTGCCGGGTGCCTGTCTGACAGTGTGCCAGACTTGATAACTCTCTTGTCGCGAGTTTAGGCACGATATTTTATATAATAGCGTTACTGTATGATGTACTAGTAGCGTTGCTACGTGATTTTTCTTTAACTGCTTTGCAGAAAGATGAGGGTTGATGGTGAAGGTGGAGACAATTCACTGTGTGCTCCAGTCTACACTTATAGATATAAATGTTCTAGAGGATTTCCTCGTAGATATATTGTCCAGGTACTCCCCCAGTTCTAGAGAGTATTCACTGGCGATAAAGAAAATTAGATAAGATGTCCTGAGCTAAATAATGTTCGCTAAGGATCCGTCACTCCTCACTCAGTTGTAAACAAACGCGAAGTGCCACAAGGTATGGTCGTGGGCGCTTCTTGTTCCCAAGATGTTCCTCCCTTTTCCTTCAGAGGGGTAGCTTTCAATGAATATTGATTGATTATTTTAACTGTCTAGACATATATTTGAGATAAGATGTGATTATAATATAATTAGATATAGGATTTAAAGATTATAAGTAGTACTTGATAGTACCACTGATTCTTATTAAGGATTCGATTTATAATTCCTACCGGAAGCGATTAATGTTCCAATAGTTTTTTAATTAAGAAATCCTTCTAGAAGCTTCTGGATCCTTGAGAGATCATGCACTAAATCACGTAGGCATCTATAGGGCCCTATGGCGTACGTGGTCATAGTGACATTGTCATCCAGGATCAAGATGTATAATGAATCTATAATGATTCGGATTTGATTTTGATATGATTTGATATGATTTTGATATGATTTTGATATGATATAGATATGATACAGAAATGATATAGAAATAATACATTTCTTAGATGATTATTAAATATTGTGGGTAAAAATTTCCCACTTGCAGATCGTCGTGAAGATCATGCAGGTCGTCGTGTAGTTCATGTAGGTCGTCGTGAAGATCATGCAGGTCGTAGTGTAGATCATGCAGGTCATCGTGTAGATCATGTAGGTCGTCGTGTAGATCATGTAGGTCGTCGTGTAGATCATGCAGGTCATCGTGAAGTTGATGCAGGTCGTCGTGTAGATCATGCAGGTCGTTGTGTAGTTCATGCAGGTCGTCGTGTAGTTCATGCAGGTCGTCGTGAAGTTCAAGCAGGTCGTCATGTAGATCATACAGGTCGTCGTGAAGATCATGCAGGTCGTCGTGAAGGTCATTCAGATCGTCGTGAAGTTCATACAGGTCGTCGTGTAGATCATGCAGGTCGTTGTGAAGATCATGCAGGTTGTCGTGAAGTTCATGCAGGTCGTCATATAGATCATGCAGGTCGTCGTGAAGATCATGCAGGTCGTCGTGAAGGTCATTCAGGTCGTCGTGAAGTTCATGCAGGTCGTCGTGTAGATCATGCAGGTCGTCGTGTAATTCATGTTGGTCGTCTTGTAGTTCATACAGGTCGTCGTGTAGTTCATGCAGGTCGTCGTGTAGATCATGCAGGTCGTCGTGTAATTCATGCAGGTCGTCGTGTAGATCATGCAGGTCGTCGTGTAGATCATGCAGGTCGTCGTGTAGATCATGCAGGTCGTCGTGTAGATCATGCAGGTCGTCGTGTAGTTCCTTCAGGTCGTCGTGTAGTTCGTGCAGGTCGTCGTGTAGATCATGCAGGTCGTCGTGTAGATCATGCAGGTCGTCGTGTAGTTCATGCAGGTCGTCGTGTAGTTCATGCAGGTCGTCGTGTAGTTCATGCAGGTCGTCGTGTAGTTCATGCAGGTGTAACAAACTAGGCTGTTGTAAGAATTATCCAGAGTGGTTTATCGACAAAAGAGAACGGGAACCTGAGCCCGCATGGTGACCTGGGGACCTGACCCCAGGGGAATTCGCGGTGAAAATAACCGACGCTTTGTTCATAGCTGCGTATAATGAATCATCCTATAGTATTCAGTAATTTAGAGAAATTAGGCTTTATTCATTTTGTATTAAAATTGTATTGTATAATAGTACTGGGTACAATATCAAGAGTATTCTAATTATTGATTTTAAGTCACCATCAGTGACGTCACGAATCAGATCTAACTTGTAAGGCGGAGTGACCGGCGGTCATAGGTCATCAGGGTTGACATGTCTACTATTTCTCAAAGTTCAATTAACCATTTTGGGGATCGGGAACAGCTCTGCCGTCAGATGTTTGTGTAATTTAATTTCAGTAAAATAATTCAACCAGTCTGGATCATTTAAGTACAACAGAGGTTAATTGTTATAACTTAAACCATTGCTAGTAACTTGGTAGAACTTTGACTAGGCGGAAGGATACAATGCTCTAGTCTGGGGTAGACCAGACGAGGAAGAGATCAGTGTGGACACAAGAGCAACTGGGAGAGGTCAACCATCTTACCTCTCCCCAAGACCAGCCCAACATCTTTAGCTGGTTGCCCAAGGTATAGTTGCTATGGTTATTTATAGAGGTAGTCTCATTGCCATTCAGGTCAAGTAGGGAGTGTTAAAGTGACAGGGAGTGAACATATTTAGATTTTTGTTTTAGTTTTTCTTTTAATAAATTAATTAAGTTAATAATTTGCATTTTTATTGTTTCCATTTGGTTATGTGTATACTTGTCCTGGTCACGTGGTCCACACGAGGCAGAGTTGTATTGGGCGCCGATTCTAACATCGAATCGGAATTATCATTACCGTGTAATTTATTCCACACTCAAGGTCATCGGTTATAGTGGGGATCAAGCCCCAAGGTTGATTAATTAGCGTGATCGATCCAGACCTCGATCATTGCTCTGTGTTACTGGTCTGGTGGTGGCAGCGTAGAGGCGACTCTAGGGTTTTGCTCAAAGCCTAGGTCACGCCATACTGGTTGTAGAATCTTAAGTCGGTCAATCGTCTTAGGACCACGTGGCGTGGAGTTGGCTTTGGTAAAAGTTTTGGAGTCCCTTGTAGAGATTAAAGAGTAAGAATACGGGTAGAGGGAGTAGAAGGTAGATAAGTAGAGAGAACCCTACCTCGTGTTACACAGGTCGTCGTGTAGTTCATGCAGGTCGTCGTGTAGTTCATGCAGGTCGTCATGTAGTTCATGCAGGTCGTCGTGTAGTTCATGCAGGTCGCCGTGTAGTTCATGCAGGTCTTCGTGTAGTTCATGCAGGTCGTTGTGTAGTTCATGCAGGTCGTCGTGTAGTTCATGCAGGTCGTTGTGTAGTTCATGCAGGTCGCCGTGTAGTTCATGCAGGTCGTCCTGTGTTCCTCGTGCTTTGCATCGAGTGGAAACTTTTCTGTTTGTGGTAATTTACGAATACCAAGTATAGTATAGGTCCTTGAGATGAGCCGTTCTGACGCTTCCACTTACCGTAGCCCTCTGTGTCATGTCTTAGAGGTATTCTCTAATCCAGCTTAGCATCCTAGTACATCCGCTTGAGTCTTAAGTTTGTTTTATAAGTTTGTATTAAGTAAGGTATAAGTAAAGCTGTATCAAATGCATTCTGGCAGTCCTGGAAGAAGACCAGCCTACTTTTCCCTCCTGAGGTCTGTTGCCATGTCCTGTGAGGGAGAAGGGGCGAGGATAGAAGAGGGGAGAGAAGGTTAGAGGTGAGGGGAGAGAGGGGTTGTTAGGAGGGGGGAGGGACCTGGTCTACCCACACAGGATATTGGCCAGGCCTCAGCTGCTTCCTTCGTGAACTCACCAGACAATTCTTCACTATTTTTCCTTACTTAAATCCCTCGCTCTTTTATTTAGTTTTGTTTAAAGTATTATATTTGTTTTTTGTTTTTTGCTCCTTTTGTTTAATAACAAAAAATGGGAATTTAAATTTTAATTCTTTTTAATTCAACTTTATTGGTTTTTTAAGTAAAAATCTCGTTTTACTTCATACCAATAATTTTAAAGCAAAACTGGAATAAAAGGGAAAAAATATAATGTTTCTTATGGTATTATGTCTCATCTAGCCACAGGAGTAGACTCTTCGAAATTAGTTACTTCCAGGATTTAAAGTGATGTCGGAAAACCCAACACCATTTACTGATAGTCAATACAATAATTACATAATATTGCTTCTGTTTGTGTTTAGTGTTTATTCCCATAGAAGACACAGTGGAAATTTCCTCTCATAGAAAACGGGAAATTATTGCCACTTCACTATTAAATTCACGAGCTATTTTTTTTTTATTTATATAGATATATACAAGAGTTGTTACATTCTTGTACAGCCACTAGTACGCGTAGCGTTTCGGGCAGGTTCCTGGAATACGATCCCCGCCGCGAAGGATCGTTTTTACAACCAAGTACACATTTTACTGTTGAGTTAAACAGAGGCTACAGTTAAGGCTTTGCTCCCAGTAAAACCTCCCCGGCCAGGATACGAACCCATGACAAAGTGCTCGCAGAATGCCAGGCGAGTGTCAATTCTGTTGGGAATTATTCTTAATACCTTGATCTCGGGACTGTAAACATCATCTCACTTGAATTAACTTAATTATTAGTACCAAAATAGAGTAAATGTGACCTTTCTACCACTTCTTGACATCTGGATAAGAGAGCCAGGGTGTCAGTGGAGGAGGGGAGTCAGCCATTGTTAAATTAAGTCGCTGGAGTAAATTTAGCTCCTGTAACTTTCTTGAACTAAGTGTTATAAAGAGTAAATTAGTGCTTCCATTATCAACACGCAGTCATCATCAAAACAAGGAAAGTGTCCAACTTCGAAATCTTTTCTTGTCGTTCCTGGCCAGTAATGTTAGGTAGATAGGATAATTCCGGTTAGGACATGAGACAGCGACAAAATCCAGGCAAATATTCCTTGGTCCTTATCTCATAATCAATATACCAATATTTCCTCTAATATAGCCCCGGTCATATATTAGGATTCCTGTTATTACTTGTGAGTGTCTGTAGACAGATGGAATTGAAGAAGAAGCATCACTAGTACTCCAGTACATGAGCTGGAGGCCAGCCACACCCACAAAGTGGATCGACTGGCTTATTCATCCGTATTCATACTGGTTGTCAATGATATAACAACAATACGATAAGGCCTTCCCATATTAGTTAATATATGTAGTCTAATACTGCAGTGAATGTTTAAGAATCAATAATTTTGATTACCTAATATAATTTATTAAACCCCCCAGAATGTTTAAGGCAAGCAATTTGCGAGAATTTTAAGAAATACAGTCCAATTTAAGGGGGGATTAGATTCAAATATGCCAACAATGAAAAATGGTTCGATTTCAATCAAACTTTTTTGACGTGTTGTATATGAAAAGGGGTTTCATCTAGTCCATGTCTCATCATCGTAGCATAAATAGGAAGGGAGAAAAAAATATTGAATGTGTCAAAAAATTTCCAAAAGGATCAAAAACATCATAAAATTTGCAATCGAAATATATAAAAACTAACGTAAATATAAATTCTATATAAATCTCACGATTCAATTTCCCACATGTCAAATGTTGATTTATCTTATGTTATACACACCTGTGGTCCCCGGGGCACACCTGTGGTCCCCGGGACACACCTGTGGTCCCCGAGACACACCTGTGGGCCCCAGGGCCCGGGACACACCTGTGGTCCCCGAGACACACCTGTGGGCCCCAGGGCCCGGGACTCACCTGTGGTCCCCGGGACACACCTGTGGTCCCCGGGGCCCGGGACACACCTGTGGTCCCCGGGGCCCGGGACACACCTGTGGTCCCAGGGGCCCGGGACACACCTGTGGTCCCAGGGGCCCGGGACACACCTGTGGTCCCTGGGGCCTGGGACACACCTGTGGTTCCCGGGCCCGGAACACACCTGTGGTCCCCGGGGCCCGGGACACACCTGTGCTCCCCGGGGCCCGGGACACACCTGTGGTCCCCGGAGCTCGGGACACACCTGTGGTCCCCGGGGCCCGGGACACAACTGTGGTCCCCGGGACACACCTGTGGTCCCTGTGGTCCCCGGGGCACGGGGATAGGATTCATCAAGCAGTTTCGAAAATACTCATGAATCTCTTCTAATCTCGTCCTGGGTGGTTGCTTCTGGATTCCAGCCCGCCCTCATCAACAAACAGTCAGTCCTCATCAACAAACAGGCCGTCCTCATCAACAAACAGCCCGTCCTCATCAACAAACAGTCCGTCCTCATCAACAAACGGGCCGTCCTTATCAACAAACAGCCCGTCCTCATCAACAAACAGGCCGTCCTTATCAACAAACAGGCCGTCCTTATCAACAAACAGCCCGTCCTCATCAACAAATAGTCCGTCCTCATCAACAAACAGCCCGTCCTCATCAACAAACAGTCCGTCCTCATCAACAAACAGGCCGTCCTTATCAACAAACAGCCCGTCCTCATCAACAAACAGCCCGTCCTCATCAACAAACAGGCCGTCCTCATCAACAAACAGGCCGTCCTCATCAACGAACAGCCCGTCCTCATCAACAAACAGCCCGTCCTCATCAACAAACAGGCCGTCCTCATCAACAAACAGGCCGTCCTCATCAACAAACAGGCCGTCCTCATCAACAAACAGGCCATCCTCATCAACAAACAGGCCGTCCTCATCAGCAAACTGTCCGTCCTCATCAACAAACAGGCCGTCCTCATCAACAAACAGGCCATCCTCATCAACAAACAGGCCGTCCTCATCAGCAAACAGGCTGTCCTCATCAACAAACAGGCTGTCCTCATCAACAAACAGGCTGTCCTCATCAACAAACAGGCTGTCCTCATCAACAAACAGCCTGTCCTCATCAACAAACAGGCCGTCCTCATCAATAAACAGGCCGTCTTCATCAATAAACAGGCCGTCCTCATCAACAAACAGGCCGTCCTCATCAACAAACTGGCCGTCCTCATCAACAAACAGGCCGTCCTCATCAACAAACAGCCCGTTCTCATCAACAAACAGCCCGCCCTCATCAACAAACAGGCCGTCCTCATCAACAAACAGGCCGTCCTCATCAACAAACAGCCCATCCTCATCAGCAAACAGGCCGTTCTCATCAACAAACAGCCCGTCCTCGTCAACAAACAGCCCGTTCTCATCAACAAACAGCCCATCCTCATCAGCAAACAGGCCGTTCTCATCAACAAACAGCCCGTCCTCATCGACAAACAGCCCGTCCTCATCAACAAGCAGCCCGTCCTCATCAACAAGCAGCCCGTCCTCATCAACAAACAGCCCGTCCTCATCAACAAACAGGCCGTCCCCATCAACAAACTGCCCGTCCTCATCAACAAACAGCCCGTCCTCATCAACAAACAGCCCGTCCTCATCAGCAAACAGCCCGTCCTCATCAACAAACAGGCTATCCTCATCAACAAACTGCCCGTCCTCGTCAACAAACAGCCCGCCCTCATCAACAAACAGCCCGTCCTCATCAACAAACTGCCCGTCCTCATTAACAAACTGCCCGTCCTCATCAACAAACAGCCCGTCCTCATCAACAAACAGTCCGTTCTCATCAACAAACAGGCCGTCCTCATCAACAAACAGACCGTCCTCATCAACAAACAGGCCGTCCTCATCAACAAACAGGCCGTCCTCATCAACAAACAGGCCATCCTCATCAACAAACATTCCGTCCTCATCAACAAACTGCCCGTCCTCATCAACAAACAGCCCGTCCTCATCAACAAACAGTCCGTTCTCATCAACAAACAGGCCGTCCTCTTCAACAAACAGGCCGTCCTCATCAACAAACAGGCCGTCCTCATCAACAACCAGTCCGTCCTCATCAACAACCAGTCCGTCCTCATCAACAAACAGACCGTCCTCATCAACAAACAGGCCGTCCTCATCAACAAACAGGCCGTCCTCATCAACAAACAGGCCATCCTCATCAACAAACATTCCGTCCTCATCAACAAACTGTCCGTCCTCATCAACAAACAGGCTGTCCTCATCAACAAACAGCCTGTCCTCATCAACAAACAGTCCGTCCTCATCAACAAACAGGCCGTCCTCATCAATAAACAGGCCGTCCTCATCAATAAACAGGCCATCCTCATCAACAAACAGCCTGTCCTCATCGACAAACAGTCCGTCCTCATCAACAAACAGCCCGCCCTCATCAACAAACAGGCCGTCCTCATCAACAAACAGGCCGTCCTCATCAACAAACAGCCCATCCTCATCAGCAAACAGGCCGTTCTCATCAACAAACAGCCCGTCCTAGTCAACAAACAGCCCGTCCTCATCCACAAACAGCCCGTCCTCATCCACAAACAGGCCGTCCTCATCAACAAACAGGCCGTCCTCATCAACGAACAGGTCGTCCTCATCAACGAACAGCCCGTCCTCATCAACAAACAGCCCGTCCTCATCAACAAACAGCCCGCCCTCATCAACAAACAGGCCGTCCTCATCAACAAACAGGCCATCCTCATCAACAAACTGCCCGTCCTCGTCAACAAACAGCCCGTCCTCATCAACAAACAGCCCGTCCTCGTCAACAAACAGCCCGTCCTCATCAACAAACAGCCCGTCCTCATTAACAAACAGCCCGTCCTCGTCAACAAACAGCCCGCCCTCATCAACAAACAGCCCGTCCTCATCAACAAACAGCCCGTCCTCATTAACAAACTGCCCGTCCTCGTCAACAAACAGCCCGTCCTCATCAACAAACAGCCCGTCCTCATTAACAAACTGCCCGTCCTCGTCAACAAACAGCCCGTCCTCATCAACAAAAGCTGATGACGGAAGTGCTTGTCTCGAGTATGTCCATAATTACTAATCTGGAAATACTTCACTAATGAATTTGGAAAACCAAAAATTTCCAACAGAACCTAAAGACCTAACCTAACCTATACCTAAATTTGCTGATATATAATAATATGAAATTATATATGAGAAAATATATATTTTGAAGTAATAACATTTTAAAATTGATGAATGCGTCTGTGGGTTAGTGCAGTGGACGGCATGACTTTTGCTTGAGGACGGGTGACCTCCAGAGACACATACCACAAGTCTTCTCTACAACACAACCTGTACCAGTAGTGATTCTCCGCAGGCGAGTCTCACTTCAAGAATCTAAATTCTCTCTGTCTGGAAAGGCCAACCAATTAGGCTGAACGGTAGAGCGACGGTCTCGCTTCATGCAGGTCGGCGTCCAATTCCCGACCGTTCAAGTGATTGGGCACCTTTCCTTCCTCCCGTCCCATCCTAAATACATATTCTGACCCCTTCCCAGCACTATATAGTCGTAATGTTTGGCGCTTTCCCCTGAGAATTTCTTATCTGTCTGTAATTTAATTATAATGATATTAGTTCATTATTTCGGGGGGACAGGAAGCCAGAGTGTATTCTTACACGTTAGGCTTATATCGAGGTCCCACCCCCAACCCCTTAGGTCGAATTACTGACCCCGCCCAGGATGCAACCCCACAACTAACTGAAAAACTCCTGGGGTACCTACTTACTGCTAGGTGAACAATAGCATTAGGTAAAAGGATATGCGCCCAACCATTTCTCTCCCGCCCAGCTTTCGAACCCGGAATTCTCGATTATGCGTCGAGAACAAACCCGCCGATACTACCGGGACCCTGCATATATTTACATGACATAAGTATTTTATCAAAATATAAGACAATATTACAGTGAAAGATCCCTAAGCATCACCGGTCCTATGGCCAAGTTAATAAGGAATAATGGCATTATAAAGATTAAGAATTAATACAACGAGGTAAACCTCTCCTGTTAACATGTTTTTGGTATTCCTTATATGCATCAGCTGGTGAAAACCGCACGTGATTGGTCTGAACCGGTAAGGTCAAGGGATGAGAAGTAGACCGTCGCCTTGACCCCGGTCATGTTAGAAGGGCAAGACTTACCTTGACTCGGTCATGTTAGAAGGGCAAGACTTACCTTGACTCGGTCATGTTAGAAGGGCAAGACTTGCCTTGACCCGGTCATGTTAGAAGGGCAAGACTTACCTCGACCCGGTCATGTTAGAAGGGCAAGACTTGCCTCGACCCGGTCATGTTAGAAGGGCAAGACTTACCTTGACTCGGTCATGTTAGAAGGGCAAGACTTACCTTGACTCGCCCCCTCCCCGCTCAGCTCGTTGTCGCCGTGTGGGGGCTTAGTGGGTGGCTGCCGGAGTGTGATGCTCCTTGGGACAGTCCTCTGTCCTTTTCTAGCCTTGTGCTCCTGCTGCCGTCCTCTCCAATTCTGCTGGGCATCTTTTCCTTTTCCTTCTGTTTCGTTTTTCTCCCCCCTCTTCTCCTATCTGCTTGCCGTTTCCTGCCGACCTTTTGCTCGTTCTGGTTCTTCCCTTGGACTTCTTCTATTTTGACGCCCGGGTGCTTGAGGAGGCATACTCATGCACCCGTAGAACTGCAGTACCCGACGTCGAGAGCGAGGGGAACCTTTTATTGTCAATCCCCACTTCGTCACTGAACCCGATCTCGACGGACTGTCGGTTTCTTAAGGTGGCGTTTGTGGGGCGTATACTCGCGACGCACCCCTAGGAGGCCCCGACAAGATCGGCGATAGCTTCTTGTTGGGTGTCCTGCCTCTAATTGTGGCTCCATGGTGGGTGTGGGGGCACATTCGTGAGTGAATTCTTCTTTTCGTCAAGATGATTACCCCTGCTTCGGCTTCTTCTGGTTTACCTTCTCAGGCTCGTGGGGTGGGCGACCAAGCCCCCGAGTCGGTCCGTATTGGAAGACCGGGCTCTGTAGCCTCCGCTGCATTGGGCCCCGACCTTGCTCCTCCTTTGGCCTCTCTGACTCCTTCCTCTGGCTCCCCTCCCTCCTCTGTGGTTGGGTCGAGCCCCAAGCCCCCAGTGGTGACTACCTCGTCACCTGGCGCGGCTCCTTCTCTAGTTGTAACTACTGCGCCTTTTAACCCCTCTCTCTCTGAGGGTTCTCACCGCCATCCTCGTCACGGCCGCCCTCGCTCCCCGGGGCCCAGAGCTTCGTGGGCCAAATATTTTGATCTCCTCCCTCTTGATTCTGCGCCTCCTGACGATTTCACCCTCCATCGACATCTCATTGATTCCGTGGATGCCTCCATTACTTTCAACCCCACTCGTCTCGGTACACGTGTCTTGCTGCTCCTTCTCAGGATGCTGCTTCCCGCTTGGCTGCCTTATCCTGCCTTGGCGAGACCCCCGTTCGGGTCTCGAAGAACGCTCAGTTGAATGCCAGTGTTGGCACTATTTTGCTCCCGCCCCATGTTGCGACCGGTGTTCGGTACCTGCGCGACTGCCACGACGATATTCGACATATCCTCGCTGCCCAGGGCCATTCTATTCTCCAGGTGGACACGTTTACTCGTCCCCCTCGTGGTAGTCGCCGTCAACCCCTCCGGGTTGTGAAGATTACCTTTGATGGTAGGACCCTTCCACCCTCTGTCATTCATGCTGGTGCCAGGTGCTCTGTCCAGGAGTACATTCCTTCTCCTCGGCTCTGCAACAAGTGCTGGAGGTTTGGGCATGGTGCCCTCCGCTGCTCCGGGACTGTCTCTCTCTGTCCTTTGTGTGGTGGCGAAGGTCACTCTAAGTCGGAGTGCGCTTCTCCCCAGGCTCGTTGCCTCAACTGCGGTGAGGCCCATCCTACCTTCTCCCGTGCGTGTGTCCATTACAAGCTTGAGGCAGCCGTCCTCAACTTGAAGCACCGGGAGCGTTTATCTTTTCCTGAGGCGAGGCGCCAGGTTCGCCGGCTCCCGCCTTATGCTAATATCTCTTATGCTCGCGTGTTGCGCTCTTCCTCTCCTCGTCCTTCCCGCCTTCCTCAGACTCACAACCGTTTCCGGGCCTTGGACCCTGATGCGCCCACTGCCCCCTCCTCTGTCCCTTTGGGTTCTCTCCCGAAGGATCCTCCTCCTGGTCCTCTGTCTGGGGTTCCCCTTCCTTCTACCCGGTCTGTCGTGTCTTCTGTGTCTTCTTCCTCGTCCCCCTCCGATCCTCCTTCCCATCCTCTTCCTCCATCTATCGGCTCTCCCCACCGCCTGTCGGTGCGGGCGGATGTCCATCGCTCTCCTAACGGCCGTCGTGTGTGCTCTCGTTCGGCTTCTCCTGTTGAGACACTGGAATCCGTTGCCCGGTACGTAGTTGCTGGGACACCGGTCTCTTTAAGTCAGAAGCGTAAGCCTGGCTCCTCTCCTTCCTCTTCCCCGGCGGGTAAGAAGGCTTCGCTTTCTTCCTCAGCTCCTCCTTCTGGCTCTGTTGCTCCTTCCCCTCCCGTTTCAGTGCTTGCGCCCCCTGTTCCTGCTATGGAGGTTTCTTTGGCCCCTGCTTCTCTTTCGGTTGCTGCTCTTGCTGGGGTGCGCTCCCCTCTTTCTACTCCCCCTCTTCCTGCTGCTGTCCTTGACGGCTCCTCTCCGTTGTCTCCTCCTCTTCCTCCTCCTCCTCCTCCGGACCCTGCCCGCCCACCTCTGATCTGTTCTCCCGTTTCCTTCCCTCCGTCTTTGCTCAGTTTACCCATGCCCCCTAACCCTGACTTTGCTGACCCTGATCCCGACCCTGATATTCTTTAACGTGCTCTGTTGGTCTTTCGCCTTTGTTTCTTCCTTGTTCTCTGTTTTTGTCCTTTCTCTTCTCGTCGTTGTCCATTCTTCAATGGAACGTTCGAGGTTATTACGCCAATTTCCTCGAACTCCAACTTCTGGTTTCGCGGTTTTCGTCCCTTTGTGTCTGTCTCCAGGAGCCAATGCTTGGTGCTCGTCCTGGTCGTTTTCGTGGCTATTCCTTTCTCTCCCCCCCCCCCCCAGCCATTGCTGGGGCTTCTAATTCTTCTGCTCTCTTGATTCGGGCTGATGTTCCCTTTGTTCCTTTACTTTTTCCTTCGCCTCTCCATTGTTCTGCTGCTCGTATCTTTGTGGGGAAATGGTACACAGTTTGTTCCATTTATCTCCCCCCGAGTGTCCCGCTCTCTCTTCCTGATTTGAAACACCTCCTGGACTCCTTGCCGGAGCCTGTGCTCCTGCTGGGTGACTTCAATTGTCGTCATTCTCTTTGGGGTGACGTTCTGACGAATACCCGGGGTCGCCTCCTTGAGCCGTTTCTCCTCTCTTCTTCCCTGTCTCTTCTGAATTCTGGTGAGCCCACTCATTTGGACTCTCGAACTCGCACCCTTTCTTGTCTTGATCTTTCTCTCTGTTCTTCTTCTCTTTACTTAGATTTCACGTGGCAGGTTCTTGATGACCTCCATGGAAGTGATCATTTTCCCATCCTTGTTTCCTTTTTCTCTTTTCGCCCTTCCCTCTCTTTCCCTAGGTGGCAGTTTGCTAAGGCGGACTGGACCCTATTTTCCCTCAGTGCTACTCTCTCTGACCTCTCCCTTCTGCCCCTCTCTCGCGCTCTCCTCCTTTTTCATGACACTGTCTTCGACGCTGCCCTCCGCTCTATTCCTCGCTCTTCCTCTCGGGGTCCACGGAAGTGCGTTCCCTGGTGGAATGCGGACTGTGCTCGGGCTGTCCGCTGTAAGCGTGCAGCCTGGAAGAAGCACCGCCGTAGGCAGACGACCGATTGTTTTCTTTTCTTTCGGAAAGCGAGTGCGGTGGCCCATAGGGCCATCCGTACGGCTAAACGTGAATGTTGGGCATCTTATGTCTCAACAATTACGTCCGAAACCCCTCTGGCCCAGATCTGGAAGCGTATCCGCAAGATAGCGGGTAAGTTCGTTCCCGATGTTTCACCGGTCCTTCACCTCCATGATACTCTTGTGGCGGACCCGTTGCAGGTCGCTTCCGAACTGGGTTCCCACTTTTCTTCTGTTAGCTCTGGTCTTCATCTTCCCCAATCTTTCCTTCTTCGTAAACCTGTCCTTGAGTCTCGTCCTTTAGATTTCTGCACTCGTCTTCAGCTTCCCTATAATGATCCCTTCTCTCTCTCTGAACTTCGGTCTGCGCTGGCCCTCTGTGGTTCTACGGCGGCGGGCTTCGATGGTATTCATTATGAGATGCTTCGCCATCTCCCTCCGAGCACGTCTCAGTATTTACTGAGTCTGTATAATCGGATCTGGGAGTCGTCGTCAGTCCCTGAGGACTGGCTCGATGCCGTTGTCCTCCCTGTTCGCAAACCGGGGTCTCTGGGTACTTCCCCAAAGGACTTTCGCCCTATTGCTCTCACAAGTTGTGTCTGCAAACTCTTTGAACGTATGGTTAACGTTCGTCTGATGTGGTTCCTGGAACACCATCACCTCCTCTCCCCTTCTCAATTTGGTTTCCGCAAGTGCCGCAGCACGACAGATGTCCCGGTGAACTTGGAGGTCTATATTCGTACTGCTTTTGCTGCGAAGACCTCCGTTGTTGCCGTCCTTTTTGACCTAGAAAAGGCTTACGACACCACTTGGCGTTATCATATCCTATCTCAACTTCATTCTTTTGGCCTTCGTGGTCATCTCCCTCTCTTTCTCCACAGCTTCCTCTCTCGTCGTTCCTTTCGGGTGCGCCTTGGTACCGCTCTCTCTCCCTCTTTTCAGCAATACGAAGGTGTGCCCCAGGGTAGTGTTCTGAGCACTACTCTTTTTCTGGTTGCCCTCAATGGTCTTCTTTCCTCTCTTCCTTCTGGTGTCTTCTCCGCTCTCTATGTCGATGATCTTACCCTTTGTTGTCGGGGTGATGATTCGCCTCTCCTTCAACGCCGGCTTCAACTTGCAATTGATGCCGTGTCGTCTTGGGCCACAGGTCATGGCTTCAAGTTCTCTACTTCTAAGACTTGTGCCATGACTTTTACGTGGAAACGGGTTGTTCTTCGTCCCTCTTTGTCACTTTATGGTCATCCCCTTGAATACAAAGATTCCGCGAAGCTTTTGGGGTTATTCCTTGGCACTCGTTTGTCTTGGTCTCCCCATATCTCTTACCTCCGTGTTGAGTGCTCTAAGGCCCTTACCCTCCTTC